AGAAAGAAAGAAAGAAAGAAAGAAAGAAAGAAAGAAAGAAAGAAAGACTAATTATAGTGCTAGGCCAGGCTAATGATAGTGCTATGTCTGAAATCAGGAAGATCTGGGCTCAGCTCTGGCCTCTGACACTTAACAGTTACATGATTCTGGACAGGTCGTTTAGCATCTTTGTCTGGGAACACCCTCGCAGATAGCTTGGAATCTGCTACTGGTGAAAAAAGGTTCCGTAGCAGTCATTCCCCACATTCTGACTTGACAGAGTCTTCTGACATTTACAGATCCTTCTAAGTATCTAACATTTACAAAGGGCTTTAAAGGTTACAAAGCACTTGTTATCTCATTTGAGCTTCATAACAACAATTTAGGTACTGAAGTTAGCACCACCCTCACTCTGAAAATATCAAGCACAGTTACATGTTATGAGGAAGACACTCAATGATCATGGTCCTCATCCTTCCCTTAGGGTCTCCCTACCCTCACAGATCCACAGTGGGCTTCTGGTGTCATTCATAGTTGAAAGAAGTCCCTGTAATAACATATCCAATCCAATCTTCTTTTGATGACCTCCAATAAGGAGGAATCTACCAATGTGGCCATTCCACTTTGGGACAGATCATTGTTAGGAAGTTTTTCCTGACATCAAGCCTACCTCTTCTTCTTTACAATTTCTACCCGTTGCTCCTAGGTTCAAGCCCCTGGGACTGAACAGAACAAATCTAACTCCTCTCCCATATGACAGCCCTTCAAATACTTAAAGACAGCTATCAAGTCTCCCCTTAGCCTTTTCTTCTCCAGAATAATTATCCTCAGATCCTTCAACTAATCCTCAGATGACACGGACTTAAGGCCCTTCATCACTCTGGTTGTCCTCCTCTGGTCACTCTTTAGCTTATTTATGTCCTTCAGACTCACTTGAAAAGTTATACTATAACATTAGTTCTCAAATATTTGGTCTCAGATCCCTTTTCACTCTTAAAAATTAATGAGAAGCCCAAAAAGCTTTTATGTGGGTTATAGATATTGGCTGTATTAGAAATTAAAACACCTTAGTGTTATTATGAAAACAGTTTTGACCTTGAGGACCCTCTAAAAGGGTCTCAGGGACCTTCACAAGTACTCAGTCCACACTTCAAGAATGCTGAACTGGGCTACAGACACACTCAGTTCATCAAGTTACTAAAGGTGGTGGTGATTTTCCTCATTTAAAAAACCTGAATGAAACAAGAAAACTCTTGGCAATGGAGGTTTAGGTAGGGGGTCAAATGGTGCAGAGAAGGAACACAATTTCTATGATCCAGAGTCACCCCACCTATCAACTCTGGTTCCCATTATTTCCCAACACAAATACTCCTCTCTTTATTACCAGAGTGTAGTATCCTGATCAGCATAAGTTCTAGGATGATGAAGGTACCAGTCCTTCCCCAGGCCACATTTGGAGTGTGGGGGAGTTTATTTTATTTTAGTTTTAAGCACCCTGTTTTAGAAGGGATATTGATAAACTCAAAGGTGTCCAGAGAAAGACAACCAAACTTACAACTACACTAGTAGAAGTAACTCTAAACCATGCCTTTGAGAGGATGATTAAAAAACTGGAGATGTTTAGCATGGAGAACTTAATAACATGTGTAACTGATATCAAATAGCTTGCCTTCTCAAGGTGGGGGGCAGGAGGAAGGGAGAGAATTTGGAACTCAAATTGTTTTTTAATTATTGTTAAAAATGTTTACACGTAATTGGGAAATATTTGATGAAATAAAAATATTTCTTTAATGTGAAAGGCTGTAATATAAAAAAAGGGACTGGACTAGTTCTGTTTGGCTCTAGGGGGAAAAACTAGGATAAACAGGTGGAAATTATAGGGAAGACATATTTTGGCTCAAAATCAGGGAAAATTTTCCAATAAATACTGTGAAAAATGAAGAGGGCTGCCTGGGGCAGTATTGGGTTTCTCTTGACTAGGGGTTTTCAAGTAAAGGCTTTGTGACCACTTATTGGGTGTGCAAATTTTAAAGCAACATATAAATGATAACTATAATTATTGTTGTTATGGTGGAATCCAGCTCTAGCTCTATTTTTTTAATTGGCTTTACATGGTCACTTCAGTGCATAATGAAAACCCCCTTCACTGACTTCTCTGGGATAAGCTGGAAGGGAATAAGCATTTATTAAGTGCCTACTATGTGTCAGACACTGAGATAAGCACTTTATAAACACTATCTCATTTGTGTCTGCTTTACTCTCTGGTACATTTAGTCATAAACTTTCACTATGTGGAGACTCCAGATACAGGAAACACTCAAATTCCAAAACAGGTACTTTTCCAAAATGTCATTTCTAAATTAGTTGTTTGAAACCTGGAATGCATTTGCCCATAGAAGCAATGTTATAAATGATGAGTAGCTTTCCAGATTGACCCACAGAAGTCTATTTGGTTCATGGTGAAAGATTAATCTTTGAATTCAAGAAACTCAGACTACTTCTGCCATCCAGGTTCTCTCATTCTTGTTCTCAAACCTCTATCTGCCTGCAGTAGAGGATCTATGGAATCTTTTCACTTCCTGTATGTTGTGTTTGAGCATTCGGTAAAACAGTTGTTCTCATCACCACAGCATTCCCCACTAGTCAAATGTTTATGATTGTTTGGGTTGTAGGTGCAGTAATGAGCTCTAGTGTTAACAGTTTTGTCACTGATTAGCTTGAGCACGTTTTCACTAATTCCTGGAAACATTACTCATGATAGCATATGCTCCATGAAAAACTGACAATATTCACCTATATATAGGGTTTGTTTGGGTTTGGTTTTCTTTTTTTCCCCAATAAGCAGGCTCCAATACAGTCTGGTCACTGACACTACATGTAACGATTCACTTGAAGTTCTAAAATCTAAAATGGAAAAGGAGATTCAGCTTACCTGGACACTTGTGAGAGTAGTGTACTGGTAAGCTCTGACAATCAGGTAATTAGCCTCCACATCAGCTAGGCCCAAGAAGATGTACTTCCACCATTTTCCTTTCAGGATGTGCAAAAGGTTTTCGGTGCCTCATCAGAGAAAGATTTGGCATATATGTTAATCATAAATGAAATGTTACTTCTTTAGCTAATAGTGTAAAATCAAAAACTATCTATTTCTTCCTTTGTTATGGTTCTTGAATGCATCCCTTTTTCATTTTCACTCTAGTTCAAATCCTTATTAACGTCTTACCTCTCAGCTAGACTATTGTAATAGCCTCCTCTCTCTATACATCTATGGGATTCTTAACCTGGGTTCCTGAACTTGTTTGGATAACATTTTGATAACTGTATATACTGTATAACTGTATAACTGTATATACTGTATACTGTATAACTGTACAACCAATATAATTGGTTTCCTTTAGAAGCCCAAGTGTTTCGTTTCACGCACTTAAAAACTTTCTTCCAAGATAAAAGGTTATAGGTATCACCAGATTGCCAAAGAGGTTGATGACATAAAAAAATGTTAAGAACCCCTGCCCTAGTTCAAACTCTCACAACCTTTCACCTGTACTTCCCATCCTATGAAACCCATCCTACATACTACTACCATGGTAATCTTTGTAGAGCACATTTAGTTCATGTTATTCCCCAAATCAAAAATTTTATTGGTTCCCCATCGTCTGCAGAAACTCCTTAGCATAGCATTGAAGGTCCTCCACAATTTATCCCAGCCTGCCTTTCTGGCCTTTTTCTCTTTCATGCATCTCCCACCCCAGCCAAACTTTGGACTTTTGTTCACATTGTTCCCTTTGCCCTAAAATTCTCTTCCTTCTCATCTCTGAATATCATTTGAAATACTACCTATTATTCTATATCCATATCAAATGCCAAATCTCCCATGGAAGTTTCCCTGATTTCACAGAAAGAGAATTCCTTTCTCCTCCATATTCTTTTAACAACTGGAAAATTCAAGACCTGCTCAAGAAACGCAGAAAACTACAGTTTGACTGAAGCATATAGTATTTGAAGGTGAGTAGTAGCAGTTGTGGCTGGAAAGGTAGTTGGGGCTAGGTTATAGATGGCCTTGAATGTCAGTTAAAGGAGTTTAGACTTTAGGAGATGGGGAGTCACAAAAGTATTAGATGGGGTGAGGCAGCAGCAAAGTAGTCAAGGACCTTAGTATCAGAAAGATAGGGCTTGTTTTACATACCTGGTCGAAATGCCAACATTGTTGTGTAAATGAAAAACAGTAAACAATAGTTGATAAAACTTTGAAGCATAGGAGTGTTCACTTTGTACTTGTCTGCCAAATACTGGCTGGTGACAGCTGTCCCACAGATACACAAGGAGAGCATCTGGCCTAGAGCAATTGTTTTCAAGATGTCCCTGGAAATGAAAAAATATAATAATATTAGTCTGCAACAAGTTAACAGCTTAAGAAAATTAACAATCTATTTTAAGCACAAAGAAAGTCTAATATTTCTAAGTGTGCACACATGCACACACAGGTATAGATAATAGATAATAGCCAGTTATTCTTGAGCTACTGATTCTCCTATTTCTCAAAATTCTGCTTTTGTCATGCCCTCTTTACCCCATCTCTAAGATACACACTTCCCAAACAGTTTGATTGTCCATTTTTAATGGTTTTTCTGTGGCACATTGCAATTTTTAAAAATAAGATAGAATTTGGATCAAAACCATCTTGCAGAATTCCTAAAAGTAATAATTGGCATTTATATAAAAGGTTTCAAGTTTGCAAAGCCTGTACATGCATATCGTATAATATATATTTGATATTCTCAGGATCACTATGAATACTATGGCCACAATTGTCCCCCTTTTATAGATAAAGAAAATGAAACTCCGTCTGATTAAGTGATTTGCTCACAGTCATTCAATTATTAAATGCCAGTGGTAAGACTTGAAACACAAGTCATACAAATTCTAAGTCCAGAACTCTTCAACTTCGCTTTCCAGCTTTCTCATGTAGGTCCCTTGCACGTACCCTATGCTCCTGTTAAACTGGACTACTCACTATTCCTTGAACTTATCCTGCTCTTCCCATATTCCTTACAGTCTAAACTCATATCATCCCTTATTCCAAAAATGCATGCTCTCAAAACTCACACTCCAATCTCTGCCTGTTCAAATCCTTTCATTCAAGTCCCAGATCAAATGCTACCTCCCTCAGCAATCTGTCTCTTTCTCCCTCAGTTCCCCTCCACTACCAACACATGAACAAACACACACACACACACATACACACACACACAGGGCAATTGGAGGTAATCTGTCTTTAGATATCTTAAAGTACCCATCCTATGCACATATTCCCTCTCATATTTTCATTATTTATTTAGTTTTTTAAGCAGAAAATAAGCTCCTTGAAGGTAGGGACCACCAATTATTGATCTTTGAAAATGCACTGCCTTGCATCTAGCAAGTACTTGAACATGATTAATGAATTTTTTAAGTTTAATTAAATTACATTCTATTGAAGTCACTATTTGTGGTGCAAAGATACCACAAAAGGCTTTTACTACACAAAGTATAGTGCTGTACAGTCCCATTTGCATTTGGCCATAGCTTGATCTCTTTCCAAATCTAAGTACATGGCCCATTCAGTTTTCAGCAAAAATGACAGTTTGACCATGGACTCAGAACAATACAAACTGATGTCTGAGATGTTGAGATAGTATACATACCGTATTCTGCTGGGCAACATTTTGTCTTGAAAATATTCCTTGGTTTTGTTTTGTTTTTTCCTCTTGTGCCATTATACCAAAAAAGCTAGCATAGTCTCATTGAAGCAAAACATGCACATTCTTCATCTTTAAAAAAATTTATCTCATACCAGTGAAAGAAGGTAATTTTTACCCTGAATATAAATTAACCTAATCTGTGGGTTAAGTTAATTCATCTATTAATGCTATTTGCCTTAGAATCTCTCATAAATCCTCTATATACTCACTTTTTCCTCTAACTGGTTTTCTTCAGTAGAGTATTCACATTTTTCCAATATTTTTAAGGACTCAAAAAACTCTGAGTCTAAACTGTCTCAAGGAAATGGTCATTTCAATGAGAAAATAACAATCTTTCACTATATAGAATCCTATTTGGAATATTACTTTTAAAAATACCAGGTCAATGATATCTAAGATAATTTTTTACTCAAAAAGAAATACATACAGTTCAATAAATTCTATAATCCTACCTCTTCTGGGTCTGCTAACTTAATTAAACCTTTCCTTTTCAAAAGTCAGCCAATATTTAGAAGCTTCTTCTATGTGGCCAAAATTGTTCTAGATCAGGGGTCCTTTTTTTTTCCTTCTTTTTTTAAAACTGCACCAAGCCACAAGTATAATGGCCACTCACAGGCCTGATCCCACTGCTAATCAATCAGTACAGAGGCTTTGACCTGCTCTATTCACAACCTAGGCCAGTTTGCCCCTCCTGAGGCACTGACTGACCAGGTGCTGGACCTAGTATAGCCACTCAATGGCCTTAACCCACTGTAACTCAGAACTCCTGATCTCAAGCAATCTGCCGCCCTCAGCTTTCCCAACAGCAGAGACTCCAGGCCATGTGCCATCAAGATCAACTAGGCCAAAGGTTCTTAACCTATCTTGTGTCACAGATCCCTTTAGAAATCTTGTGGGGCCTTTGGACCCCTTTTCAGAATAATGTTGTTTTGCCTACATTTAAAATGGAAAGAAAATGTTAAATATTAGTTTAGAGGGAACTGAAAAGAGATGTAATTTTTTTCCCATTCAGGTTCACAGACTCCAGGTAAACAGATCCACAGATGCCTTGGAAGCTGTGCATTCCAGGTTAAAAACCCCATTCTAGGCATATGTGTTTAATATACGCTAAAAGATAGTGTTTAAACAGGCTTCGATAGGAACAGTCTATAATATTTGCTGTCACTTTACTTACTTGGGTTTCCAAGGAGAGTACTTACGAAGCTATTTCTCCCACAGTGTTTGAATGAGGTACTGATATAGTCAAAATATTAAAAGACCCAGAGGAAGGAAGGCCTTCAAAGGCACAGCAGCTAGAACTTCTAGGGAGATTTTATAAAAGGACATGAACAAGAATCATACTAGTCCAAAAGAGGTGAATGGGTTGTATTATGTACTAATCAAGTGAATATACACACAGCTGAGATCTCTGATATATTCAAGTACTATACCTGCAAACCAAGTAAGGAGCCCACAAGTAAACAAGAGTGCCTAGATTACGGCACCATGATTCAAGTACAGGTATGGATAACTAACTGAAAGAATTCAATCCAGGGGTATGCTGGTAAATGTTTAATAACTGACTCTTTTATATATAATATATACACACACTCAGATGTGTGTGTATATATATATGCATGCATATATATATACATACACACACATAATACATACACACACATGTACATATATACACAACACATTTTAAAGTTTAATTTGCATTATTAACATTTACTCCAGCACTTTCTTAAGTCTAAACAATCAACAAAACAATAAGTCAAGCCCTAAATTTGTAGCTTTCACTGGTTTCTGAGGTATAAATGCTCACACTGAAAATTTAACAAATGGCTCTCTTGTGAGCTGGCTCCAGAATACACAGATTAAAGCCCATGACCTAATCATAGGAGCTAAGGATTTTGAGCAGGGAGAAACCTCAGAGATCACCTAGTCTAATTCCCATTTTTTACAGATAAGAAAATGGAACTTTTCCTACAAAATAGAATTCTGTTAAATTCACAAGAGTATAGCAATTACTAATGCCTACATTATATATATATATACACACATATATATTTATATATCTTTGTAGCTAAATATGTATGTGCGTGCGTGCATGTGTGTGTGTGTGTGTGTGTGTGTGTGTGTGTGTGTGTAAAACACCTGGATTTCAAATCTTGAGACTTTTAAGAGCAAGATTTTCCTCACTGGAAAGAATGATACTTCAGAGACAGAGGTGGGGCCAGAGCTCTGAGGAAGAGGGACATTCTTCCTTCCTGCTTTGACAGAAGACATAGGTGGTTCTAGACTCTCTTCAAGTCAACTTCTGATTCTATGCCAGTAAATCTCTCATGCTGGAAATGCCTCCACCTCTGTCACCTTTTTCTCCTTCCACAATGAGACCCTCCACTTGAAGAGATATGTAGGTCGTCCATGCTCACCCCTAACCCTGCTCAGCTCCTGACTCTCAGGATCAATTTTCTACTTTGTCCCCATCTGAGTACCTTCTTCCCTATTCCCCCAGATCTGTTAGCTCCCTTTTATCTGTTGCCATCCCCTATTATAGCACCAAGTCATTAAGGGCAGAGAATTTCTTTCTTTTGCCTGTATTTGTATTTCCAGCAGTTAGCTTAGTGCATCCACATAGTAAGTACTAAGTACTTAATAAATGCTCTATTTATCTATCTATCTATCTTTAGACACAGACCCATGGAGAAAAAGATCAGAAGATAGAAATACAGGTGAAAGTCAGCTCCTCAGCTCCTCAACATGTCTGTCCTTCATTTCCAGCTTGCCTTCCTAGGGATTTTGGAGAACTTCTGCCTAGGGAAAATTGGAACCTTAATCTATTGGTTGAGTTGAAATATCTCATTCCCATTCTCCCCCTCTCATTTACTCTATGTATTTTTTTATGTTCTAATTTATATAACTTCTCTACTTTCTGTTTGCTATCTGCTTAGATAAATGGGTTTACCTGATAATCACCATTTGAGATGATCATCTGTGTCACTTGCGTTTGGTAGGAGGGGACCAAACCTACAGATACAAGCTTAGGGGATACCTCACCCTTTAAGGGTTAGTCACAAGGAAAGAGAATTTAAGGTTAAAAAAAAAAAAAAAACAAAACTTTCCCTAGACCAGTAGAAAGGAAGACAGAAATAATTCTAGCGTAATATACCTCTGTCTCAGTGAATACATTGGCTAACCTGTGGCCCTTTCTCCTGCTCCCATCCAGGAAGGAATATAAGTATCCCTTCGAGAGGGAAAAACGACAGACAGAAGGCTATTTATGCCTTCCCACGAACCACTTTTAGACAATCCATGTGGACATACATAACCTATATGGGCAATATATTATATACAGTAGGTATGTACCTATATGTAGGTGTATATAGCTTATATGTGCATATATAGCACATTTTCACATATACATTTATATATTTTATATGCGTATACAAACAGAGACAGCTTACATTTATATACCATTTTAAAAGGTCAGCAAAGTACAATATTTAAATAATTTTATTTGAGCCTCACCACAACAATGTGAGGTAGGTGATATTAGTATCTCCATTTTACAAATGAGGAAACTATACTTTATGGAAAGGCATAGGATCATGGACTTAGAGTAAGAAAGGACCTGAA